ACATAAGAACGGAGGATCATTCTCCTAAAATGGTGGTGGGGCTTCCGCAACAGAATTGACCATGGCAGGCTCAGCGGCCTTGACCGCGCATGGAACTTGCGCCTCCTCCAGATAACCCACTGCAAAAAGCGGATAAAATATGTGGCAGGTGAGAAAACAATGTGACCACAAGTACTGAATCACAAAATCACTAGAGCGATTTCACCAGAAGGAGAATGTAAAACGGCGGACGGTGTGTTCTGAAGCGTGGACGTAAATTGTTGGGTGGAGCCTGGGATACTTATAGGTAGCCAATGACAAGTAAGAGACATAGCACATATGGACCGCATAGAAGCTGGAGGCGACTAAACTCAACATATATTGTGCAGGCTACAAATATAGCAAGCAAGTCAATCAGAGTGAGAAAGGTGCGGCATGGTACACAACAAAAAGCTTTGTGAAAACGGATGTGCTGTCAGCGAAACAAGTATACGTTTTGAAGGTTAAAGCAACCGTAAAATCCAGTGTCGCATACTACTAAAACATCGTGTTTTCCGGTACACTACAGACTCAGCAGAATGATCTAGGAACCATACATATTTCAGTGCTTCATATTTAAGTTTTGTGCGATCGCGATTGACACACTGAACCCGGGCTTATATGCTATGTCTTGTTAGGGACAAAATGAAACCGGCGCGGGTTTGTGAGTGGACAAAGGTCAGCGCAGGATTTTCTGGGCATACTGAATACTGACCTTTGTTTTCCTTAAGGTTTTACTCAACGCAGCACCCGAGAAGTAGAGGAACTTCGATCCTTACCTAAAGTACCCTAACGGGTTTGAACCATTCAGTCTTTTGCTGGTTAGTTGGCTCCGCCAAGCTGCCTAGCCTCCAATGGCACGCGTTGTAATATCATCTGCTGCATTCTGACTGGGTAATGACGGCAAATTACTTGTGGCGCCGTGCTGATGGACCTTGGAACTCGCTTCTCTATCAGGCCATTAGGGAATCTACGGTTGAGGAGTTCGAGCGTAATTTAGCTGCTGTTTCATGACTGTACCAAACCTTCCACTTCTCCGAAGCGACTTAAATCTTTAGCTTAGTGTTTTTTATTCTAGTTATTCTCATACCTTGGTAGCAGCATTAAGTAACTGACGTTCCCTGCAGTTCTTCTTAGGTTACCATCACCCTTTCATACCTCACATAAATCGGCCTGATAGGAACTGCTGGGTGGGGAACGTAGGTAGTACTCCTTTGGCTATGTTGTGTTGCGGTCTTCATTTGAGACTTTTGTTTCTCTCAAGCCGACTTATTAATTCTCTTTCCAACGATAAGTAAAAGGCAAAGCATTCACGTGATTATCCTACCATTCCTGTCCCAACTAAACTTGTAAATTTATCCAGCTCGGTTTTCTTTAGTAACATAGGATACAATGACAGCTATTTTCTTTGTGTTTTTAATTAACGAAAACCATTTCTTGATAGCCTATCCATCTAATTTTATAATACATACCACATCAGTAATTTTAACATATTTCCGCTTATTTTGCAGTGTTAGACGGTAGAATCTCCAGGTTACCGCAATAATACGCTTCAATGAAACGCTGAGACACATACTACGTGCGAGTCAAAGCAGTTGATGTACCACATCGGGTTTTTCCGTGACACGCTAACGTGGACTAATCATCGTCTTTCAAGTTAGTAAGCATTTATAGAACGCTGTGTTATCACAGCTGCCCATGGAGGGACGGTGATATAAACGCATGAATGGTATGAAAACGAACGCAGCTGCATTAAGGACGAGACGGGAAAAAATAAAAGAAAAGCCTAAATCACTGCTAATCTAAGCGACGACATTTAACCTGCGGACTCCCTACAGTACCTCAAGTAAAGCACTAGGCTCATGGATGAACAGCTTAACTAAAGTATCTGAGCTCATGAAGCGTGTAAACAATAACGGAACCTAATCTTAAAACAAACTGGAAAAATAAATTACTTTACCTTGTCACATCTGCACCAAACAACATCTCACTTCTCTAAAATAGTTTAGCAACATAATTCGTACCCACCCATAACTGGGTGGTAACCAGTCAGTGCAACGGTCCAATACGGACTTTATCACGCCAGCGATTCCCGTTCTAGTATCGCCACTTCCTGTTCACGCATATTACGTTAGCATAATTCTCTGCATCTTACATATCTTCATTTGTTTACTTACTCTTCCAAATTAGTACTACAATATATTTCCTTGCTTTGCTAGCTTTCCCAGAGTCAAGTTCGCTGTAGCGCGCACAGCCTTCTTCCCATGTGTTACTAAGCTACAGCAAAGCCCATAAAATGACTTTAAATACATGTGCGTTATAATTAGCACACTTTTATACTATGTTTTGTTTGTTGCAAACAAGTCACCAAGTATAACATCACTAAACAAAGTTTCTCTATGCATTGAGCACAATCAGTTTCTTCATTAACTGTAAGCCAATATACGATATGCGTCAACCAACTCCGTAAACCGTATCTTGCATGTCGGATACCTGATTGACACAATGAGCATGGACAACATAACCATAAAGAATTACGTTTACTGTTCAGTTCCTTATACTGCTAATGCATAAGCTATCAATTAACCAATTCTTGATTTTTAAGTAAAATATTTAGCCAACTTTATATCTGACTGTGTCACCCAAGATGTTAATGAAAACGCCTTTTGGCAACTTGTTTAAAGCTACTTCGTTGACTTTTAGAAAAACGATTATTTCACTCATTATGTGCGTGCACGCATGTGCTATTGCGTTCACCGCAGGGTTTATCGATAACTGTTGAGGTAAACCAATTACACGTAATAACATTTTGCATAACGCAGTGCTACCGCACACCTCATAAATTATTCCTTTTGCCTTTCTTCTTCCACACATCAAGCGCAGAAAACTAAAGCAGTATTTTGTGTTTCTTGCCGGGTATTGCTTTGGCAAATTTGTATCATAAATAAATTATTATTAAAGAAAGCTTAATGTTTTGACATTTTAAAATCCTTGGGATATTTCTCTATCAACATTTGCTTGGATTATCTATTGGTGACAGGTTGACGTATATATACTAGCACCCAATGCACACCCAAGTATACATGTTGACATGACAACCACTGTGTTGTATTTAGCATTATTTCGGTTAAAATTTGTGCGTTAATTTTCAGCAATTAGACGCCAGTGGGAGTCTGGAGAGTACTTCAGAAGACAGCTCTGATTGCAAGGAGAATGCAAATTTATTTATTTATCTTTATTCCCTTATTGGTAAATTAAAATATTCCTTATTGCGTGCCTAACAGTGTTGACGTGTTGACAGTGTTGACAGTGTTGACGCTCTAGCAAGAGGACGGAAAATGTAAAGCACACAAGACAGTTACGCTTTGCAATTGAAATCAGCGTCAAGCAAAAACGGCGATGGTCAAACCAGGCATTCGAACTCAACAATACGTTTAACAAACAACACCTGTCGCTTTGGTTTACCATGACATATATTGTCAGAACTTTTATACAGGCAAACCGGGAACATTC